TGAAGTCACGGGCATAACGAACTGCGTGTAGCTGCTCTGAAGTCATGGAGCTAACGAACTGTGTGTAGTTGCTGTAAAGTCATGGAGCTAATGCCGTCCTTTTCTTTGCCCACAGCCAGACCAATGACTCTGCAGCAGCTCAGCCGGTTGGCGGTGAGGAGGAAGCTGGGAACCACAGCTCTAAACGCTATAGCTCAACTCGATGTGCCAAAGCTAATCATCAGCTTCCTCTGCTATCAGTGACTCATCTTCTTGGAAAGAAATGTTGGAATTCAAGCTGTTGCCTGCAGAGCAGCAAAGCTGCTAGCATAAATTAACAAACATGGTGCCAAGCATCAACTCAAGACTTCCTTTTCTGAAATACTGCACTTTATATTTGAGTAAAAAGCTCTAAAGTCTTCTGTAGCCTAAAGCCAGACCAACTAGTGATAGCATTTTAGTTGATTATAGCCTGCAAGCTGTAGTTAGCTTAGAAGATAGAGGTAGTTAATGTTAGCTAAGATTTTGGGGTTAGCAAAGCAGCTAGTGATGTCAGTATATTTTGTGTTAGTTAGACCCTGTAGTAAAATCACCATATTGGCTAATGTTGCTCTTTATTCTTGGGTTTGCAATGTTGAGCACATTCATGCTAAGATTAGCATCTTAGCTGACTTTAGCATTATAGCTTTTACTGAAACATAAAATGCTATTAACATAGTAGTTAAGCTCTTAACAGAATGTAAATGTTGGTTTTCCACTTTTAAACTGTCCACTAACTTTGTGACAAGGATTTAACCTTTTTTCCTATAATCTCTGATGCTCTTTTAGCTAAATCTTCTTTAAAAACTTTGTCTACTTTGATGGAGCGTCTTATTTCACCTTTTCTTAGGAACCTTTCCTCAGGTTAAATCTACGCCTGTTTTTTTTTTTTTTTTTTTTTTAAATTAATCACTGTTCTTTGAATGATAATGTTTTGGATGTTTCTTACCTCACAATGCAGCATTATTATTAAGCAAAGTCTTAATTCCCTGAAAACAAATGTTTGGTTAGAATTCAGGGTTTTTAAAACTGTTTTAAAAGATGTTTGTTTGTCTTCAGAAAATTTTAAATTTCTAATGATTTATTCTAATGGCAGTAATTACTGAACATTTTACCATCTGCACTTTATTCCAGTGGTTGTGATATAAAGAAAATAAGTGAGGTGAAACACCACATATTTATTAATATTTAATATTGTATTACAGCCAGGTTGCTGTAAAACAGTTTGTATAAATTATTTAAGCATTTATATGCTTAACTGTGAAATTCAACAGAGGAAAAAAAAGATGTGAAACAAAATAAAATAATTTGTGAAGAAGTCGGACATCTTGGTCAGTCTACACTTTTCTTTTGAAACTCAACAAATGCATAAATTGTTTGTAATAAATTTAATTATTGACGGTATTTCAGTCAATTAGGACTTCTATGGATCTGTTACTGATATATTTTTTTCATTTTTTACTTCATGGCAACAATTGTAACTTTTATTATAGATCCTTAAAAAGACCATCTTTGTTTTATCAACTGCTTTAAACTCCTGACGTTATTTTAGGTTGACAGATTTAGTGATTAAACATAAAAGTCTTGTAGAACCCAATAAGATAATTAACACCTGCAAAGATTCCCAGAGTCTCTGAATGTATGTGTCTTCTATCAGTTCGTGAGAACGATGAAAGGAAGCACAGTTCTTAACATGCAGTTTTTTACTGTATATAAATTGTATATAACTGTATACTGTATATAACATGTGCTGTCCCCCTGAAAATAAATGTCATAACCATTAATTTTTAAAGCAATGGCAAAAAAGTGAGGACAATCCAAAGAGAAAATTTTCAAATTGTGCCCAATCAGCCACCGTAGTTTTACAAACTGCCAGTTAGTCATTGTGCTGTTTGGTGACCTGCTCTTTACAGTTTGGACCACAGGAAGCGAAGGAGAGCGTTGGGGATATGTTCTTCCATGGGCCTTAAACTTCCTGGTGAAGTACGGGAAGGTAGCCATGATGTTACAAAGCGTAACCAAAGAACCAGAAAATCCTCCAAATAAATGAAATTTGAGCTCCAAGGTTAAGGTACATTGTTTTAGTTTAGTCCAAAGATGACCCCACTCTTACAAAGAAATCCTAGAAGAAGCAATACTGGCCTTTACCTATGCACATCTAAGACTTAGAATTAGACAACTTTATTATGTTGACATGTCATTATGTTCAACTTTCAGACAGTAAATGAGCAGCAGCTTAGTGAAATTAACATTTCCATTCCATAAAATACAGCAGAGATCAAATGTAAACAATGTTGGAGAAAAATGTGGTGCAGAGAAGCAGTAGAAAAACATTTTTGAGTTGAATGCTATTTGGTTCGATGTCAGTGTGATACAAAATCACGATTTCTGGCTTGATTTAGAGTTTTCTTTAACGAAACTTCGTTAAGTACCGCTTTTAAGGAATTAAATGAATTAAACTGCAGCAGTGATCAAATGTAAACAGTGTGAGATAAAAAACATGGTGGAAAAAAACGCATTGATATGGAAGTTCAGAGCATTAATATATATGGTGTAAATATGCAGAATTTGGGTTTGGCGTTGTTGCATCATTCCCAAGACGACTCATGGCTGTGCTAGCTCAAACGGGGGCTTCTGCTCAGTACTGATGGGGTACCGCACACCGAGCAAAAGGTCTGAATACTTATGACCATGATAGTTTTTTCTCTTTTGAGTCCCAAATGTTGGATGATCTGGTTCAAAACCCCAGTTTAATATTTTTATAAGTGAGATACTGTTATTTGAAAGTGTTTAAACTGTTGTGACATTCCAAAAGCCCAAGCATTATTGCAGGATATCAATATTTTAAATTAAATTGTATCAAACACTGTTTCAGACAGTGTAGCCATAAAAAATCTTGGTTAAAATGATATAGATAGATACACAGATAAGATAAAAATGAAACAATGCATCTTACTATTAGATATGAGATTTAAGGAGACAGAAATACCAGCGTCTCCACAGCTTAGACAAGTATCAGATTGTACTGTGTCAGTAGGTGTCAAGATAATATAATTGCCAGATGCATTTATTCTACAGATAAACCCATACATTGACTTAAAAATATTAATTTAGAATATTAGACATTGATGTCAAATAATCCATATGTTCCTCATAGGAAGGACGGTGAAATTACATATATAGCAGAGTCAGTTGTCATTCAACCGAGTTGTATTATATATATATATATATATATATATATATATATAT